ATAATAAGAAACTAGTATAAACTAATAAAATACAATAATAATAACTATAAAAAAGAAAGAAAAAGAAAATTCTATTACAGTAGTAAGTTCTATATCAATTAATTTTTATATTATCGATTATTAGTTAAAATAAAGTTTGCATTGAATAGAAACAAATCTTCAAGTTTTTATATTGGATCAGCCTAGGCCCCCACTATGTCGCATCCGTGAAATTTTCGATTTCCAAATTCCTTATAATTTGTTAGACAAAATTTCAATTCTTTATTTTACACATAGTCTCTAGAAGATTCGGTAAGGTTTGGGAAATACATCTAGTATAATAGATAATATTTGTAAAGAAATACAAAGACAACAACAAAGACCTCTGATTAATTCCTTTGGTGTTTTAGCCAAATTATCTGTTTGAGATTTCTTTTCTTTTCCATCTTCATGATTACATTTATAGTTATCGCTTATGAATTTTTAATATCAAATCATGAGATTTCTGATGTCATTCAAATAATATATTATTTTTTTTTTAAAATTTGGCAATTCTGTCTTTATTGTATTAGGAGTGCGTAATCTAAATACATAGTTTTCGAACAAAAAGTTTGCAATAAACTCAATGCTTTCTTTCAACCCTTCTACTTTTCAAAAAGACTTACTCGGCTATTCGTAATGGTGCCCAAGTGCGATCTGCTATAGCAATAATTCACTCCTCTCCGGCATCTAACTTACTAGATAACTCTCTGAAAAAATCACTGAAAGCTTATTGCTAGCTTTGTTAAGATTGCCTTTTTCTTAATATTTTTCTTTTTTCAAAGAAGCATATAACAAAAAGGTGTAAGATAACAAAAAACACAAATAAAACGAAAGTAACAAAAACAAAAGAGAAAAAGAAAAAACAAAGAAGAATATAAAAAAGAAAACAAATATGAAAGGGAATATAAAAGAAAAAATTACAAAGAAAAGAAAACAAAAAGGACAGCAGAAAATTCTGTTTTTTTAGCACTATTATTACCCGTGCTAGGCTTGAAAAAATTATATAACAAATACGATATTTGTATATCTCTAGTGTAAAACTTTGTCTTATCAAATAAAATTTTCTGACTAAATCATCTGGACTCGCCAATCTTGGTATTACGTGAAGCAGCACGATCTATAAACAAAACAAACCAGATACGTGATCGCAGTCTGCCGGAACTGTTCAGATTTGGAAGGTGTAAACAATGCTGATCTTTTGGAAGGGGTAAGCTGTTTTGCCCACTTTTGTGAAAAATTTTGAAAGAGCGGCGAGGAGGTAGAAAAAAGAGACAAAACCACTTTGTTTTGTTTAATAAAAGAGTGTGTATTTCTTTACTTAACACATTAAATTCATAGGAAGGCACTAGTACTCTCTTTATTTTTTCAGGTAAGTGATAAACTCTGAGCTTATCGGCAAATAGCATATAAAAACTATTTCTAAACGACAAGTGCCCGGCCCCCATGGTGAGTAATAAACTCTAAGGAAGTTAGCAGGTAGCATATGAGAACTACCTCTAAATAACAACTGCCAAGTTACGGAGCTTAAGGACTACTTCCCAGACTGTTTCTACCTTTATAGACGCTTGTATTTTTTAAGAATTTTGGATTTTTGTGGAAAAAAAAGTAATCATCGGGAAGAGTTTTTTGCCAACAAATAATACATTATTGACTTTTTTTGTTTTATTGAAATAAATATTACTTTTTTATAAATGACTACACAATATTGCAATGTTTATTTTGAAAGGTTGATTATAACACTTTTCTAAGTGCACTTTCTTGAAGCTATAAAAAAAAAAAAAAAAAAGTGTATGTATAAGTATATTGAATAATTTTTTTGTGATTTATTTTTTTCCCAGCAATTCAAAAAAATCGAAAAAATATGTAAATAAGATTCATATAAACACATTCCTGAACCGACATGATGGGTAAATACTGTACCAGTTATTTACAATATATACTGATATATAATAATTACAATAAATTTATTGAGAAAAGGATCTTATTTATAACCACGTTATGAATAAGATATGATATATGTGAATAAAGTATGATATGCATAAGGTAAATTTAATCTGAGATCGTCACGCGATGGAACTCAAAATGGTCAAGCCGATCAAGCACATATCGAATTTAAGAACAATTAGACTGGTTCTCCCGTGTGTTTGTAAAATGTTATTACACAGAGAATTATCATAAGACTATGAGTTACTACAGTACTAAACTTTGAAAATAAAATAATGCAAGTATTGCATGCAGGAGATATGGGAGTAATATTTTTTATTTTTATTTATTTTTTATTATTTATTATTTAATTTATATAAGTTATATATAAACAAGTATATACTGAAATATATATAATACTTATTACTTTTCTTGCACGGGCCCTTTAGCACATGATAAATTAAGTTGCATTGACCAATTAAATTAAAGGATCAAAAATTAAAAGCATTGCATGACTTTGTTCTGTGGGATTGTCTTAACTATGGTATTCTCTTTCACGCGAGTATTTTCAAATTAGGCTTTTTTTTTTTTTGTTTTTGTTTGATTTTAGATCGATTACAGTATTAATTAATTCTTTTTTTTTTTTGCGTAACGACGACCTAAGACATTATTAGTTAGTAGGCAAGTTTTTTAATTGGATAGAGTCTCAAAAGAACGTTATCGTTATACGTACAGTAACATTAATTGATTTGATGGAAAATATCATATCAAATATCGAGAAAATATGTGCATACGTACATACTTATCATTATGTCAGTATGTTACTTGTTTATTCATAACAGATGCCTGATACAGTAATGGGATTGTTATCAAAAGAATATGATGCACGAAACTAATCTTGCACCAGTTCTTTTGATGTACACTACCTATTTCATTTCAAGTAATGACGAATTATTGACAAATTTAGGAACAATTACCAAAGTTAATTTAGTTAAAATTCGCATTTACCGGTATTATTTATTTATTTTTAATAAAAGAATATGCATGAACTCTTCGCTCGTACAAATCTTTTTAAGATCTAGTATCTAAATTTATTCATGTTAATCAAATTATTTGACACTGTATTATATTACTGTAATTATATGCTAATTTTATTTTTAATTCATACCGATTCCATTTTTGAGTTCATTGTATTTTTGATGATAGAATCCTTTTAGGAAAAAATTTGCCATTATAATTCTTAAAACATGATTAAGCACAATTCTTCTAACACAGATCACGATATGATCTTGTACTCAAGTTACGCGCGTGGAAACACAAAATAGTAAGGAACGCATTTTTCCATTGTCGATTGAGTATGTATGTTTAATGTGGGGTACGGAATTTGTTTATAATGTTTGTTGCGTTTGCTTAATATGCGATCATTGATTTTCTTTCCGGATAGTCTGTGATATAATATTCAAGGGGGGTGAATTAAATTAAAGAATCTGATAAAACAATTCTAATTTCTGATATATTTTTAACGTTTCACTTAATATTTCTTATAATATAATCTATATACTGTATATATACTGTATATATCTGGTATATATATATATATATATTTTTATAATATTTCCTATAATGGGTACTTCCATAATTATCCATAATAATTTCTTCGCGTAAACCGGTTAATCCTAATTTTTTATAATTCTTTATAATTCTTTTAGGATAACTTTTCTAGCTTTTCTTGAATATGCTTTTTCTTTAAAAGAATATAATGAATTAAACAAATTAATAATCTATTCCTAATTTATGTAATTTATGAAAAAAAAAAAAAAAATTAATAATTTAACAAATTATACGTACGTATTAAAATTTATTAATAAAATCTATTTACCGTTACAAGTTTTAAAAAATTTCGAATTTATTAGATTTAAAATTATTCAATATCGATATATCGATATTAGATTCATTGCCTAAACTATAAAAGGATTCATCGTTGTACCAATCCAGCAGTCACGCAGATCTTATCTCGTGATCAATCCCCCCTAAAATTAAGCAGAATGAATGTGAACTTATGAAATTTTTATCAAGTCGCGATCGTTCACTTCGCTGATCAAACTCGCCATCACTGTGTAAACTTATTTAAAAGATGGATTCCTACCCTTCTTTACCAAATATAAGCCAGCAACAACAGCAAGCTGGCTATAATAATAATTCGCTCGGCCTCCCTACAAATCCTACATTATTACAACAATCTCAATCGCAGCAGTATGCTAATTTCGCCCCTCAACATCCTGCCAACCAACGCGCGATGAACTCTGGAATCGTGCAGCAATCACAACAACAAGCGAATTATGGAACTACGAACAATCAAACCATGCAACAGCTTGGAGGGTTAGGTGCTGATAATAATTCGTCCCTTTCCAATCCGTACGTTTTTCAAAATCACCAGTCGTTACCAGTAACATCCTCCACCCCAATACCATCCATGTCAGCCATTAACAACTCTGTTTACGGTAATCAAGGTAATATCAATGGTATGGGTATGGATGTGTTTCGACCTGGTTTTAATCGAACTTTAGGAGGTCAAATGGTTGGGACTCCAAGACAAAATTTATTACCTTTACAACAACAACAACAACAACAACAGCAGCAGCAGCAGCAACATCAACAACATCAACAACACCAGCAACATCATCAACAACAACAATTACAAAATCAGCAACAATTAGCTGCTCAACGTCAGAGAGCTCAGATGCAACGACTAGCTCAACAAACTCAACAACAACAAATGATGCTTCAAATGAGAAGACCTGTTCAAAATACTGCGCCTTCACAGAATGTACATCGTCCTTCAAATAATCAAAAACAAACTAATGATTCTAATTCTAAAAAGCCTCAACAACCAATTGTTAAACCTTATGAACCTGCTCCTGATCTTACTCCTGTTCAAAAAGAATATTTGGAGCAATATGTTCGTCGTGATAATTTATATCAAAAAGCTTTAGATCTCCAACATAGAAGGCAAATGGCTATAATAAATGAAAAACGTAAAGAAATAGCCCAGGCTGAACAAAGATATCAATTTAGATCTAGTCCTTTCGTATTTGGTCCTGGCTATCAAGGTTATGGTAATGGTATAACCGGAACAAAGTTTCGTATTATTTATCCAAACGAAAGAAAAAGGCCTAAAAGAACAAAGGAATTTAAATTGTAAATTTTTCTTCAAATTTATTTATTATATATATATATATATTATATGTATTTGTTTATACGATCTAACAAATTTCATTTTTTCTTAGCACATTACAACAATTAAAAGATATCGCGCAAAAAGAAGATATATTAGTTCCGATAAGATTAGAAATTGATGGAGCTGATGGTTACAAATTACGAGATACTTTTACATGGAATATGAATGGTAGACGCCCTTTTATATATTACTTTGACTTTTTTATAAAAATAAAAAATTAGTTAAAGTTAAAATGATGATCATTTAACTTTATGGATTTATTTTGTGTGGTGAATATTATATTGACTGATCAGAAACGTTTATTACGCCTGAACATTTTGCGGAGGTTCTTTGTGATGATTTACATTTTCCTCCTTCACAATTTGCTCCGATAATTGTCAAACAAATACGCGATCAATTACAAGGTTATATCATTCATCCTCTTTCATCAACGGAGCCTCCTCAACCTACTTTAACTGCTGAGGTATTTTCGACTTTAAAAAATTCTACCGAAGACTCGATAGAGATCAAAGAGGAGATTGATGAATTTTCAATTTTCAATATGGATGGTAATACTGATGATCATGAAGAACTTCGAATTCTAATCAAGGCAAGCTTTATATATATATTATTAAATTCTTTATTATATATCAATTTAATGTTTATAAATTTATTTTCTTTAGATTGACGTGACTGTTGGTAATATATCGTTAGTGGATCAATTTGAATGGGACATTAATTGTCAAAAAAATGATCCGGAGATTTTTGCGGAAATTTTGACCACTGAATTAGGTCTCGGAGGTGAATTTAAGTATGCTAATAATCTTATTTTATTTTATTTTATTTTATTTTATTGTTGATAATTACACTTTAATATAATATGTTTTATTATTATTATTTTTATTATTATCTTTTTTTTTATTATTATTTTTTTTTTTATAATTAATTAGAACCGCAATAGCACATTCTATTCGGGAACAAATTCAAATATATGTAAAATCTTTAATACTGGTAGGCCATCCCTTTGATGGGTCATCTATACAAGACGATGATCTTCGGCAAAACTTTTTATCTCCAGTCACAAACATAATTCGAAGGGAGGATGCCGTTGAACAACATACTCCATTATTGGTAGAATTAACTGAAGCTGAAATTGATAAAATTGAAAAGGATAGAGAGAGAGATGCTAGGTTGAATACAATCTTATTTATCGTAAATTATGTAAATTTAATTATTATTATTTTTTTTTCTCACTAAACTCTTATTTTCATGTTTTCCATGTTAGGCGTAAGAGACGTCAAACTCGTGGTAGACGAGGTGTTATATTACCAGATCGTGAACCTCCAAAAACCCATCGTACACTTCTCCATAATACTACTTTAGTTCAAGATCCCGCTGATGAAAATGTCTTTTTAACGGTTCCTTCATCAGGCATGCCACCAGTTTTACGTAAAGCTAGTTCTATGGGATATGATAATTATACTGCAATATCTGAAAAGTCTTTAGCTCCTGGTAAAATGCGAGGAAGAGGACGTGCTACTGTTGGTGGTGCAAATATTGGTAGTAATTTGAGAGTTGGTACTCCGGTAAATACACAGGATTCTGATTCTAATACTCCAGAGGGTGCTAAAAAGCTTCATCGACGTGAGTTAGGTCCATATTTGGTTTCATTTTTATTATAACATGCTTTTAAATTCAACTGATATAAATAAATATCTCTTACAAGTATACGTTGTTAAAGATTATTTTGAATTAGATACTAACATTTTTTTTTTTTTCCTTTATATATTTATATGAATATATATATTTTACACACACAACACCTTATATATATCTTTTACAGGATTAACGAATAAAGATTTAGATGAATGGCATTGTAATGGTTGTGGATGTCCTTCAACATCAACGCCGCTTCTACGAAAAGGGCCTAATGGAGAGAAGGTATGAAAATTTCTTACTTTATTTACTTTATTTATCTTATTTATCTTATTTACTTTATTTATCTTATTTATATTATTTATTACTTCGAATTTTTCGAATTTTTCGAAATTTAAATTATCCTTTATTTTTTATTTTAGACTCTGTGTAATGCGTGCGGTAAGTCCGAGAGTACAATAAATGATCGGATTAATCTCGAAGATTTTACCGCGTAACTTGGCCACATTTCCTACGTCGATTAAATTTGTATGCCATTCACACACGTCGACCTTTTCCTAATCGTCAGGCCTCTACTTTCAAAAGAACAATTCACTACGGCCGAATCCCTTGAATTTAAATGATCTCGGAACAAATTCACCGTTTATGGAGAATAACCCTTCGTCCATCGATCTCTTTTCAAAAAAAGGTCCACAACATATTGAGAGTTACCATCAAAACTCACCTTCGATGTCAATATCTAATACGTCGTTAGAAGTTAAGCAACAATCCAATACTTTGGTTAAGAGAGAAATAAATGCACAAGATAATCAAAATTTAACTGATTCTCAAGGAATAACTTTGAATACTGTTGTATCCGAAGGGTTGGTGTCTACGCCCTTAATTCAACCTGTTCCGTCAATAATGACGGCTTCTTCGATACCTTCAACATCTACCACTCATGCAATTACTTCTACATCTGCGAATGATTTACCAATGTCTACAACTTCATCAACCATAACCGTTTCCAATGCCTTACCATCTAATAGACCGGTAATTCCTCATTTCTCATTTTAAAACGCGACTGCGGTTTAAAAAAAAAAAAAAAAAAAAATAAGTTATAATAATAATAATAAATTAGTGAAAGTAATTAAGTTTTTAAATTGTATATATCCCATGTGAACTTTATGTAACACAAATTGAATAAATTTTTGACTAAAGGTTTTCCCAGAATGGATTATTCAGCAACGCGACCAATTAAACCGAAAATATCCACGTGATTGTTTTGACATTATTCAACGTCCTAATCATCATCCAACTGAATTCCGTATTAAATGTTTTGACTGTCCTGGAAAGCTCTATCAACCCGGTCCCGATCTTACATTGGGGAATTTTGAGATACATCTAAAGAACAAGAGTCATCGTATGGCTGTTGAAAAACGTTGGAATCCTCAATTGGCAGCAAGTTTATTAAATAATGAAACTATCGCCAATAATAATAATGCTAACACGATTCCTGGATACGGGCATGCTGATGGTGCTTCCGCTACTATATCGGTCGGTGATATTGGCGATCATGGTACGAACTCAATTCTTGGTAGTGGTACTGGTGGTACAAAAGAAATTGGAGGTACGGGCACCCCTAGTGATATAAGTGATGATATTCGTGTATATGATTTAAAATAATAAATAAAAATTTTTATATAACTATTTATTGATAATAAAAAAAAATATGTAAACTTGTAACTTTATCTAATTAAGAATTCGAATAATTCGAATGATGATTATTTATTTATTTATTTATTTATTCGTCAAAACTCTTTTATTATTTACTTTTCGTTTGAAGGGTTACTCCTGAAATTTAATTTTTACGTACTATATTTACATTTTAAAAAATTATGATTTATTTATTATCTATTATGGACTTTTAGTATTGGTTGTATGGATAATTTAAGACGAAGTAGGAACTATAGATCATATAGAAAAAATTTTATTTTATTATCTCTCTCAAATAAAAGGTATCAATTGTTTGTTATATCTCAATTTATTCAATTTTATTCGGTTCTATGATTTTAGTACTAATGGCAAATAGTAAAAGTCTTAAGATAATTTATAAATTTTATCCCTTTACCTTTTCCCCATCTCATGCGCGAAAATTACACGGGTTATACAAATTTCCCAAAAAAGAAAAAGAAATGATCCCAAATTTCTTAATTTCAAAAAGCAAACACGTGAATTAATGGATTTTGGGTCAAAATCCCGAACAATGGATCCCCGAAAGAACGTAATACAGAAAAAGTTAGCCGGCACTAGCCATAATGCTGGCCAATTTAGTCGGTATTATGTTCTTTCGATAATCCGTTGTTCGGGATTTTGACCCAAAATCGATTAAAACATACCTACAAAATCATGTGCATGATTCTCAAAATTCATGTGCTTGCCATCATTAGTCTAATAATAATAGACAGGTTTGAATACTTGTTAAGAGTTAGAGATGCAATCCAAATATCCTCTAATTTAATTTTATACCAAAATTATTATAAGGAATCCTTAAATAGGAAAATGGATAACGGAGTTTAGAAGTAGCTTTTATGAGTAATAAACTAATAATTTGAATGGTGTCTACAATAATAAACGGGTAATTATACATAATAATATAAAACAAGAATTCCTATTGTCATCATTATAGATTTGACCAAAATTCTATTATGATTTCCGGGTCATAGCTTTATAAAAATAAAGCTTTAATTTTATTATTTAAAAAATTTTTAAATTTTTTAAATAAAGTCCGGGTGGTGGGGGTTTTTTTTTTATGTTATGAAAAACAAAAATTTAATTTTATATGGCCTTATAGAATTCAAAATAAAAAGTTTTGGTCAAATGTTTGTAAAGATATCTTTGCTCAATGTTAGAGAAAAATCAAAACGCCTATCATAACAAGTGCAAGTGACAATTTTTTCAAGCTTTCAAGCGATTATATCATCATAACCATCTGATCATAGATGGAATTTTTTTATTTGAATTCTATATATCTATAAAATTCAGATTAAAAAAAAATTATCAATTTTGGTCGGCTCAAAGTTAGAGAAAGATCAAAAGTAGAAGCTGCGGCAAATTTTTTTAAAATTCTGAGCGAAGATGTCTTCACAACTACCAGATCAAAATTAATGAAAACATTTTGTATAAATTCTATTAATATATATAATTCAAATAAAAAAGTTTCATTGGGTTGGTTATAAAATTGTAGAGATTTCTTTGTTCAAAGTTTTGAAAAAATTTGCCGCAGATTCTATTTTGATAGGTGGTTTGATTTTTCTCTAACTTTGAGCGAAGATATCTCATAACCACCTGACCAAACTCGATAATTTTTTATTTGAATTCTATATATTCATAGAATTCAAATAAAAAAAGTTATTCAATTTTAGGATATTTCGATTGAATTTTTTACTTTTGCTAGATATGTGAAATTGTGTAACATAACAAGTATTCAAAATCTACGATGATCAACATTGGTCTAATTTCAATTTCAGTTGATCGACATAGAAGTACTGTATAACAATGACACAATGTATAACGATAAGTTGTGATATGACTTTAATTACTTTCTTTCTCTCATTATTTTTGACTATTTTTCAATATTTACTAAATTTATGACATTAAAATGTATCTATTTTCGAAATTCTAAAATTTCTAAAATAACTCACTTACTTTGTTGTCACTACAACTATACATGTGTGCCTAAATAAAAATTGCTGAAAATATTTTAGGCGCCTAAACCGTAAATAATATCGGCTGCCTAAAATATTTTCGGCTGCCTAAAATATTTCCGGCTGTCTAAAATAATCCCGGCTGCCTAAAATAATCCCGGCTGCCTAAAATAATTTCGGATGCCTAAAATAATTTCGGCTGCCTAAAATGGTACAGCTGCTTTCATAAATTCTGGGACAATCTAAGAAAAAATGCTGAAGTTTATTTGGCCGAATTCTTTAAGTTATTGATTTCTGTATGATTAGTGTGTGATCAATATATAAAAAAATTATTGAGTTACTATTACAGCAACGTCAACTCTTTCAACACTTTATTAAATTTTTTTTTGCCTTATCCAATATGTACAATACAAAAATTTATGCCAAAAAAAAAACTGTTCTTACCAATTAATAGATCTTCACTAAAAAAATTTTGAATGTAAATTGGACTTCTTAATAAACATATAAACAGCTTTAAATTTAAATGATTTATAAATAAAAACAAAATTTTTACTTCAAGTTCGTTTTGATGAATCTTTTTATTATATAATTATCTTTGGTAACTTATAGTATAGCAAATTTGTTTATTGAAATATACTGTTTCTATACAAAATCATAAAAAAAAAAAATCGAAAATTTGCCTTTTTTAATATGTAACACTCTGAGTAGGCACTAAAAAAAAAATAAAAGGTTAAATATGATCAAGGGCTGTAAAAAAATGTGAAATCAGAGGTCAAGAATTTATTAATATTTGCCGACAATGTCTAATAATTATAATAAAGTTCAAAGTATATAATGTTTGTTTAAAATGATGGTAATTCATCAACACAGCCAAACCTTTGAAATTGTTTGAGAACTCGACCCACAAAAGACCTGTTAACACCCAAATATTTAGCAATTACTCTAACTGAAACCTTCTAAGTTCTTTTACCTATTTTCCAACAAATATGTTTTGAAAAATTATAATAACAAACACATATAATTATGAATTTATATATGTGTAGCACCGAAATCAATAGCTTATTGAATAGATTTCGGTAAATTTTTTAGGATATCCCAGAATTTATGAAAACAGTTGTAAAACATTATTAAAAAGATTAATATACATATTAGTGATGGGCATATCGGCAAAAAAAAAAAGATCTTTATAAAATTTTAATACTGTATATATTACAAGCTTCCATAACCAAACTAATAAATTCTAACTTTAAAGAGCTGTTAGAATGATTTTATAATATTAACTTCTCATCCTAACACTAGCCATTAGGGTTCCAATCTGCTAATAATAACTATCAGATATCTGGATCTGAATTTATTCTGATATTCGTTTACTATTGATATTCAGATAATTATCCGGATATCTGAGTGATCTTAATTATATAGATAATTCAGACATTACAGCTGTTCTCATAAATTCTGGAACAACTGATAATATTGGATATATAAGCTTTTGATTTCGATATATTTTGGACAATGTTTGCAAAATATTGACATGGACAATTTGAACCAATAGGCATGGACATTTATGGATGTCAAGGTTTTGTTTGATTGTGCCGAGCATTAGCTATTCTTTAATTTGTATTGCAGGCAAATTTGCCTGCAAACTTTTTTTAAAATTTTAATTTTTTTAATAAAATCTTAAATATTGATTTTAGCTATATATTTTCTAAGTAAAATATTTAA